CCCCCACAGACGCACCCAAGGACGCCGCCGCGCCAGCCGCCGCCGCCGCCGCCGCTGCCCGCCTGCCCGCGCTGGCTGCTGGCCTGGCGCGCGCGGCGGCGGCGGCGCGGCCCGGCGGCCTGCGGCAGCTGCGGACGCAGGGGCTGGTGGACTGCCTCGTGGCGCTTGAGTCTTTGGGGGTAGACCCAGGTGAGCCTGGGCCGCCTGCTGCTTGCTTGCAGCGTAGTTCCAGACAGTGAAAGCGTGTATTTTTTGATGCCAAGGTTGTATGCAGGCGGCTGTGGTGGTGTGCGTTCCTGTTTACACGCGCGGCAGCGGGGAATGCAGAGTTTCAAGCAGCCGCTCGCCGCCGTATGATGTGCAAGGCCCAAGTCGCGAGTCCTTGCCTGCGGACATGTCGTGTTGATGCGCCTCCTGCCGCGCGGCCGCCCGCTTCCTGATGCGCAGGCGAGGAGTGGGCCGCCGCCTTCGCCACGGCCCTGCAGCCGCGCGCGCGCCTGCTCGCGCCCGCCTCGGCACTGGCTGTGCTGCGCGTGCTGCACGGCTGGCGCCGCTCGCGCCCGGCGGCGCCCGCGGCGCCCACCGCCGCCGCGCTGCGCCCGCTGCTGTCGGCACTGCTGGCCCAGCTGGCGCAGGCGCCCCACGCCCTCTCCCAATCCGACGTCCTCGGCGCCTTGTCGGCCCTTGCCGACCTCGGCCTCGGCCCAGATCGCGCCACGGACGCAACCTTGGACTCCGCAGGCGCCGACGCGGCCGCGGTCCACGAGCTGCTGCGGGCGCTCGCGACGGCGCCCGGCGGCGAGCAGACGGGCCTCTCCGGCGCGCCGCCGGGCGCGCTGGCGGCGATGCTGGTCGCGCTGCGGCGCATAGGGGTCGCCCCAGAGGGCGCCTTCTTATCTGCCGCTCAAGACGAACTCCTAGCCAGCCTGGCTGGCGGGGGCGGCGCCGGCGGAGCCGCGCTGGGGTTGTCGCCTGGGGCCTTCTGCGCGTTCGCCGGCGCAGTGGCGGCGTTCGGGTACCGGCTGGAGCAGCAGCTTCTGGACGGCTACCTGGAAGCTGCCGAGCCGCACCTGGGCCGCATGCATGGTGGGTGCCGGCGCCGAGGGAATGCGCATCCTGAATGGTTGGGGCAGAATCGCAGGCCGGCAGCTGTGCGGGGATCTGCCACACACGGGACTGCTGAAAATGCACCTGCCGTGAGGCTGCCAACTGCTGGGATTGATTGCCATTTTTGCTCTGCAGCCCCTGCGTGGCAGCTTGAAGGCGGCGAATCGATGTGACCTGCACCGCCGCCGCCTCACCTCATCCTCATCCCCAATCCCCAGGCCGAGACCTGTCCCAGATCATGATCACCCTCGGGGCGCTGCGCCAGAAGCCGCGCGCGCAGCTGCTCGGCGCGCTGGCATCCGCGCTCGCGCGCGCGGCGCCGGCGCTGCCGCTGGAGGATCTGTCCGGCTGCCTGACCGCCATGGCTGAGCTGCAGCTGAGGCGGGAAGACACGCAGGTGCGGAGTCTTTTTTGCGTGTGCGTTTTGAGTTGTGTGTGATATGTACGTGATTGCATGCCCTTGCGTGCAGAAAGTGGTGGCCATGCTGTGCGCACTGATAAACTGGGACCCAGGGTACCATGCCATGGGCCAAAGCTGCTGCTGCAGCTGCTGCCCCTGCTGCCGCCGCTGCGTTCGCTCGCGGCGCTGAGTGATAGGCAAGCCCACAAATCGACATTCGCGATCCTCAGCAACCACACGCATCGACGTCGACTTTGACAGCCTGTCTCCCCCCCCTCCCCTCCCGCAGGGCGTCCGCGCAACCACCGCCGCGGCCGCGCCGCCGCCCTCCGCGCTCTCCGCCGCGCTGCTGCGCGCCGCCGCGCCGCTGCTGCCCGCGGCGCCGGCCGCGCAGCTCTGCGAGGTCCTCGCCGCCGCGGGGCGGCTGGGGCTGTCGGGGGCGGGGGCGGCGGCAGTTGCCGGGCGCGCTGACGAGGACGATGACGTGACGGCCGCGGCGCCGTCGGGGTGGCTGGCGGCGGCGCTGGAGGGGGCGGAGGCGAAGATCGAGGCCGCGGACGACGAGGTGGGCGCGGCGATTGGCGGTTGCTGGCGGTTGGTGGTTGGCGTTTGGCTCCTGCGACGGCGGCCTCCTTGTTGGTCTGCGGAGGCCGCAGCACCCGGGTCCCGCCCGCGTTGTCGATGCAGCCGGCTAAGCGCAACCCTTAGAAATCGCACACTGCTGAGGCT